TCTATCTGACTAAAAATACCTAACACGTTAAAGGGAGTTTTTCCTCCCCACTGTCGCCAAGTGCTTGCTCAAGGGGGATTTGTTGAGTTTTCCCTTTGTAATAACGATAACAGTAAGGTCTAGACCTTATTTTGTAAAGTGTCCTGAGATGACTTTTGTTGTGATTGGCACTATACAAATAAAATTTGATTTGAATGTGATCTTACGTCAACCAGGAAGTAAATGGAAACGGAACCTGTGCCCAGCCTGTCGGTGTGAATGAGAAGTTAAATGTGCAGACACTGGAAACGTGTCGACTCGAGACGTTTTAAATGTAAGTAGTGACAGCTGTTGAACTCGTGGTTTGCTAATATAACGATCAGAGTTGTAGCTAATGAGCGCTCAGTTTATTTGGTGCTAATGTTTTGCGCTGCTATCAATACACTCGTTCAGCGTCAGTCTTTTACACCAATTCTGCTCCCCTAGCAAGTTAATAATAGATAGATAGAAACTTTATTACAGACTCCGAACAATACAGTAAATAGGTGAATTTGTTTCAGGCTGTTTGCTAATGCTACAGCGTATACACCTGGAAATAGATTTTTGAAGTCAAATGAGTAAAGATGGACACATTTTGATTAGCCGTCTGAGTAAAATCGTTTATGGTAATTTATACTTTGCAACTCATTACACCCTGCGAAAATGATTTAAAACGCGTCTTTCTGCCCTTTGGTTTTCTTGGGCTTAAATACAGATCGATCCGTGTACTTGGACACCAACGCAGCCACGTCCTGTGCCATCATATTACAGAGAGTGCACTTTCCTCATGTTAATGCATTTTAAGTAGCCTAATGTTGGCGCATGTGTTGACCCTTATATTAAATCTTTCTATGTATCCTTTTAATCCAGAACCGTTTAAGCATACTGTTTCAAGATACTGTTGCATACACAAGCCGGATATTGCCTTAACTGGGAAGGCTTCTGTTTTACACAAGATACACGAGATATTGTGAAATGCACCCCGAACATAGTTGTCGCTGCTTAAGTTGAATAAACACCCATTGTTTTCGTTACTGATTCATCTGCCACTGTGTGGCTGTATGCTCGGGATCAATGGGCCCCTTCCTGATGCATAATGGGTAAAAGTGCCTAAACTTTTGCACAGTGTAATTGCATGATTTGGTTTAACTCTTGCAAACCAACCCTTCAGGCCTAAATGGTGCAATTGCACTTCTTCACATTGTAGGTGCACCCAACCCTCATTGTTTTGGGGAAAAGTATTACCTACACTTTGCAATAATTTGTGACCTATAATGAATCCTATCATTAACACCCACCACAGGCTTTAATGAATGTACCTGTGTTGCAGTCCTAATGAAAATAGAGAATTTTCTCCACCAAGATATTTGTTGCAGGGTATTGGAATTGGCTGTCTGTGTTGTTCACCTATAATAATGGACTGTCTTTTAAGGATAATTCATGTTTGAATGTTCCTTTGAAAGCCAGTGTATGATTTTTGCACCAGCAGAACGATGTCTCCGGATGAGCTGGTGTACTTGGGAATTCTTGCTGCCTCCATCCCTATTGGATTCCTCTTCCGTCGCTTCAGTGAGTATTTGGATTAGACATTAAACCCAAGTTAAACACGTTAGAATTTTAAAACATAATTTACAAATTATTCTTATTTTTTGTTGGCCAGTGCTGAGTGTCATCATGGTCCCTCTAAGATTTCTCTCTATTTATTCTCTAAAAAGGCATAAGCTAACTTTTGAAAGTTATTGTCTCAAGTCTCATAATGGATGAGGACATCAATATAGAACATAACAATAAACTATGTAATTTTATCATTGAAGAAAGAGGACTGCTTTTCATCTTCAGTTTCCATCCTCCTCCTGCTCATGTTTAAATATTCTGACATGTGTCTAGTATCTGGGCCATTTCTTTAAAGGAAGCCTCCTGTTAATTGAAGGGATGAAGTGGAAATCTGCTCAGCTGTCTCCGCTCCATTTCCTGCTATTAAGGATTAACAATATTTAATCTTGTGTTTGGGGAGACCAAGAATGATAGTAAAATATTACTTGTCATGCTGCATGTCAGATGCTTCCTTGGTAGAAAGATGGAAATGGCTTAATCGCATGATTTTGCTTTCACACCAGGTCCTCCTGTGAAGCAGGGGGCAGCTCTTCTTCTGGGTCTCTCTATTACTATTGCCACCTGTCACATTCACACACTCCACTCTTTGGTGACGGTGATTGGAACATGGATTATTATAAAGAGCAGCTGGCGGTAAGAAATAAACATCAGTGCGTTTAAACTAATTTCACTGTATGACACACACAGTTAGTGCAGATGTGTAGACAGTAGGTATGCAACTGAAAACCATTTTTATTATTGATTGATCTGCCAGTTATTTTCTCAAGAATAGTCACTGATGAGTCTAAAAAGTCAATCACATGGCCCTGACAATTTCTAAGAGCCAAATATGGTTTCTTAAACTTGCTTATTTTGATTCAAAAAAAGTTCAAAATTCAAATGTATTGAATTTATCAATACATTTGACAAACAAAATACAAAGACAAAGCAAATCCTCAAGTTGGAAAAACCCGAGAACCAGAGGATTTTGACATTTTCTTTGAAACTGTCTGAAATGTTGAATGTGTTATCAGAATAATTGCAAATTAAAAACAAACCTCCCAGTTACAATGTTGTTGACTGTTCGTCCTTCCTTTTCAATTTTTTAAAAAATGTTGTATTTGCAGCTTTTATTATTTTTATTTCGCATAACTTTCTTCATTGTGTCTTGAGTTTTTTGGAGAGGTATTTGTGTTTAGCTCCTTTTGGTTTCACAGAGCTTTTAGTTTTCTTTTTTAAATTAATGTAAACATTAATAAAAGTGTGTTCGCATACTCTGTATGTGAATGTCTTTCTGTGCATATTAAAATCAGCATTTTCTATCAGATGACCAGTGAATTGCTTCACTGTGGTGTACAACACAGGCTGATACACACTGTGCACATCAGCCTACATAAACCTGTACTGTCGATACTGTGCAGACTCAATAGAAGTAGTTTCGCACTCAATAGCAAAAATTTGCTTTATTCTGCAAGAAGACATCAGTGGACACTGATTTATTGGATAATATTATCAGGCTAACACACTGGTGCTTCCTGAACGTGGTGGAACCTGCAGATAAATGCTGTGTAGACTCACCCGTAGCATTTGTCTCTGTCTCCAAGGCACGCCCCAGCACTGAGTCTTATCTGGACCTTTCTCTACCTCCTCTTCTTCCGGCTGGCCGCCTGGTTCAGTCTTCCATTACCGACGTCTTTTGCCAATGCTGTCCAGCTTCTTCTCACTCTAAAGGTATCGAAACTTGCTGTTGAATAACGAACTCTGTACAGCAGAGAAATCAGTGGATAAATCTATTGAAGCAGCATATGGTGTCATTACAATTTGTGCATGTTTGTCGATGTTTGTTTTGATATGTCTTTCTGTTTTTATCTCAGATGGTGAGCCTAGCGAATGATGTGCACAGCTTCCACATGGAGAAGAAAAAGGAAGTGAGCTCTTTTGCCAGGTCTCCCGTTGTTGGTGGTATCTCTCGGGAGCCTTCTCTCTATGATCTTCTGTCCTATAGCTACTGTTATGTTGGTATAATGACCGGTAAGTTTGTGGAAGTGCCTGCTTAGAATCATCTTTAAGTAATGTTTGTTGAAGGATGTTTAAGTGAGTGTTTAAAATTCAACATACTGTATGTGAGCTGTTAATGTCCATGTATGGTGCTGCTAATGTTCATGTGCATTTGCATGAATTTTAACTGTTGTCTCTCTTTGTCTTGCCTCTGCTACTTGTCCAGTTTTGTGAGTCCATATTGTTTTTCATTATTATTTGAAATTGCAGTTTTCATGTACCGGTAGTTCTACACTTTTTTCTTACTGCATTCTACACAACATCCTCTCTTTTTTTAACTGTGTTGTCCACTGTTCCCTTTTGTGTCTTGCATTATCCCGATTGTCCATTTTTATCTACCACTGTCTTTTCAACACTGCATTTATTCCCTTGTCTCGTCCCTCCATCTCCTTAAAGGTCCATTCTTTCGCTTCCAAACATACGTTGACTGGCTGACACAGCCCAGCCCGCTGGCTCTGCCCAGTTGGGAGCCTTGCCTGCAGCGCTTGAAGCCAATTCCTGTCTACTTTGCACTGTTCCTGGCTGTCAACTCTGTCTTTCCTCTGGATTATGTTCGCACTGAGGAGTTCCTGGATCGAAACTTCTTCTTCAGGTATTGTGCCAATGCATTACAGCTTTTGAAATCAGTGTCAGTTATGGTATTTATACATTCATTAAATAATAATAATTTGATTCATCTGTATTAATAGTGTAATTTAAGATCAATAAAAAATATATGCATATAATGATAATGTGAGCAACTGCATACAACAAATAAAATCCTGCAAGAAGCAACTAATATAAAATACAATTTACTCAGCTAAAAGCAAGCATAAAAATGTAAATATAATTTAGGAGGAAACAGAAAGTTAAACCGCATTAACAGTTGTCGAACTGTAGAATAGACTCAAAAGGGTCAAAACTGTTTCTTAAATGTGTTTAATGCCATGTCAGAGTATTTCCTAAACTGGGAGCCAGTTATCTCAAGCTGTATTGATTATACAAATTTATTGTCAAGAGTTTTGCTGCAGTTGTCATAAAGGAAGCCAAATTAAATTGGATAAATGACTGAAAACAAAACATAGGTAACATTTACACTGAGCTAAAACATCACTGCTGTGATTGAGGAAAGTAACAAATTATGTCCGTTAAAGCAAAAAACTGATTGTAGCTTAGAGCCGAGTAGAATTTTGACGGAGGGCCTGTTAGTACCTGAGAGTTGAATGTCTTAGTAATATTCTGGCAGTTGTTTCATAAGATAGAGATGAATAATCAGTTTTTCTTCTTTCTTTCTGTTTCACTCTCTGCCGCCAGGTTGTTCTACATGGTAGCAGTATTCTTTGTCTTTAGGATGCGTTTCTATTCGGCGTGGTGTGGAGCTGAGGCTGGCTGTATCAGTGCAGGTCTGGGCTGCTATCCAGAAAAGGCACTGTCGAAACCTGGAGGAGGACCCACTGTCAATTACAGGTACGTTATCACAAGATCATCAAGTCTGTTAGAAAAAGATGCATCAGTGTTTGTGTGTGGGTCAATAAAATAAATGTTTAAAATGTAACTGCATTGCTCAGTAACATACAGTATTTGTCTGTGCAGAGTTTATCTTTTTGTTGAAAGTTGGCATTTATGCCAATGTCCTTTCTCTTTGTCTAAATTTCTTTCTCTTGTGGCCAGTCCCGATCCCACAGCTGAAGAGAAATATGATTTCAAAACCATCCAGAACATCGACTGCTACAACACCGACTTCTGTGTGAAGGTCCGACACGGCATGCATTATTGGAACATGACAGTACAGTGGTGGCTGCGCCACTACGTCTATCCCAACGCCCCCTTCAAAGCCTATACACTCAGGTAAGGCTTAATGTGTGCAGCAGGTTCGGCTTAATTTACAGGCATGGATCTCTGTGTATAAGAGCATCACAATGCCATTGTGGTACTTAGGCAGTGAGGGAAAACCTTTTTAAGATTTCAGCGTTGAGATATCGACAAGCATCTCCAATGTAAAAAAGTTTTCAAGTCAGGCTGAGCAGTATTTCTGTTATTAATCAGCTTTGATCTTCAGTGTTAATATTCTGCAGGAAGCCCAGTAAAGCATTTATTTTCAAATTGCACCAGAAAGAAAAACCATTACTTTTTAAATAACTCTGACGTGGGTTACAAACACACGTGGACATATTCTACATAATAGTAATAATAATAATTGGGTTTATAAATAATAGCAATAACAACAATAGTAATAATAATCATATAATAAAAATAATTAATAAATAATAACAATAATACAAATAATCATAACAACAGGGTGCTGAAGGGAGGCAAAGGGGAAGGGAGGAGAGGAGACAAGGAGGACAAAAGAGAGGGAGAGAAGATAGAAAATGTTAAAGAGAAACTGGTAGAAAAAAATGCACTGAAAGACATGTTAGTTATTATCAGTTAATCTGCTCAAAAGACCAAAAGCAACCATGTCTTAGTTGGTCTGTCAGTACCTTCTGACTTCCCTAC